TCTGGGGGCCACCGGTCCGGCGTCCGTGGGACGGTGGGATGGATGTAATGTGCTCTGCGTCAACCCTGTCCCGCCGTTTCAATAGCCCCGACTGGGCTCCGGCCCGGTCCGAGGTAGGGCGCCGGTTGTGAGCGGCAGGAGTTTTTAGTGAGGTTCAACTCCCACATACCCCACCTGCCGCGCGGGTGGGGATCCGGCGATTTTCTCCTGTGGCAGTATATGTCACTACCTACATATCGACGCTTGAAAGGCAAACGTGACTAAGCGAAAAGGCGTGACCTTTACAGTAGACTAATTTCGACACGACCACCGGTTCCCTCGTTCAGCGGGCCGAGAGCCCGCCTTGATGGCGCCGCGTTACACCTTCCCCCAGAGCGGTCGGGGGAACGCGGTCTACCATCACCCGGCTTCCTACTGCGGGTGAGCGTGCAAAGCACGCCACCCCACGTCTGGGTCTCTCCCCGCACAAAACGGGTGGGACCCCTAGCTCTTAGGGGGCCAGGTCACGGATACGACCCCGGTCCCGACCCCCAGTGACATATACCTAGCTATTGTTCTAGAAAATTTTAGAGTACTATAAAAACTGAGACAATTAGTTTTGACAGATATTTTTTGATGTTAACCCAGCTTCAAAATTTTGAACGGATGCATAGATGAAAATCGGGTGCAAAGTCACGGCCTATATAGACTTCACAACTTCTAGACTCCCCAACGAAACTCTCTTAATATTATCCGGAGGCTAAAAATATGTGTAGTCTGGTATTGCCGTGTTAAAAAACCACACCCTTTCTCTCCACTTTTTAGTTGAGGCTCTCATTTGGCGCCGGCAGTGGAGTTTCGAGACGATGATTTTGCTCGGCGGTCAAAGCTTACAATGAACGATGCTCTATCCATCCCATCACACACATTGCATCACTTGCGAATTAATCCAGGTTCCGCAATAGTCTGTGGAATTTTACAAGCGTTTGACCATAATTATTTTTATTTTATTTTGTACTAGCGTCCCGCTCGGCTCCGCTCGGGTCTTTAACAAAAATTTCAACGATATTTGACGTTGTTTTAGTTTCTTAAATAAAAGAACACTTATAGCGCCATAACTATAAGTATAATAGTTACAAATATGCTGTCGGGACACTTTTTGTAATTGATAATGTGTTCTACAAAGTCGTAGGTAGTAGGTACATTATCTTATTCTATCATCAATAGTTTTTGCAGGGCACGCCATGTCAAGAATATTTTAGTACATTTTTTACACCTTGGGTTACATTATTGGAGCTTTAGTAAAGATCCCAATATTTTTTGTAAAAAAGAAGCCTATGCAACTCGCGAATAGTTTAGCTTCCAGACAGTGAAAGAAATTTTTCAAATCGGTTTAGTAGTTTCAGAGCCTATTCAATACAAACAAACAAACAAATCTTTCCTCTTTATAATATTAGTATAGATTATAGGTTAGTAGCTTTTCATCACCGGCGTTGGTAAAAAAAAGATTCTATTCCATTACGTTTCAATAGACTATCGCAAATACGTATCCGATTCATTAGGTTTCTTTCAGTGAACCCTCCTGGTACCTAAATATCGTGTATTTTTATACATCCATACACTTTAAAATGGGCTAAACCTAATTTGGTCAACCATTGATGTGTAATGTGGGAATATTGTCATTATAAAGTTCATATTTATAAATATTATATTTTTTCAACCGATGTGTACCGAATTTTGTCCACCTGATGGTTGTCTGGAGAAAATCGCTTTTACCCATTATCCTTTTTTTATTTAATGTTTTTAATTTGTGTTTTTATTTTAGTGTACAAACATACTGTACTGTACTCTACTATGTTCAACCCATAACTCTTCATTTATCTTGTAATCAATACATAATAAGAATGATGTCTCTCCACTTTTTTTTAAATTGTACTACTGTTTAACTTTTTTCTCACTATGAAAGAATCGCGAACACTATATATTTCTGCCGATTAAATTTAACTGGTGCTATTTACCTGATTCTGTTGTTAGGGTAGTAACATTACTCTCGCGTAGGTCGTAAACATGTTCGGAGTTTTTTGACACTAGTTCATTGATAAACTTTATTTTCATTTGTATCTCTCGGTTTATTGCTAACTAATAGTAGTACTAGTATTGATTAGGTCTCGATTACAAACTTTTCAAGTTTCCTAATAGTATAAAACAAATTAGATTATGTACAGGGCAATGTTCCTAACACAATACAAATGATAATTATTTTATCATATTCACAGGACGTCCACCTTAATGAAGATGAAAGAGAAAAAGCTAACTGGTACACTGCAGAATGTGGTATAGAAACTGGCGTGAGCACCGAAGTGATAAATGCAGCGAAGATTGGAAAGTACTCCGAAGATAAAGCTTTTAAGAAATTCGTGCTTTGCTTTTTCAACAAATCCGCAATCTTGAACTCAGATGGTACATTGAACATGGTTGTTGCGCTAGCAAAACTTCCTTCTGGTGTTAATAAATCTGAAGCCCAAAGCGTACTAGAACAGTGCAAGAATAAGACCGGCCAAGACGCAGCCGATAAAGCCTTTGCGATCTTACAATGCTTTCAGAAAGGGACCAAGACACATATTTTATTTTAATTAATCTCCAAATAAGTAATTATATTGGACATTCTAAATTATTACCCACTGTTTTGAAATAATTCAAAATCTCATTAAACCAATATTTCCTTTATAACTGTCGTTTCAATTCCTTTAATATTAATCAATTTTAAAATACTAGTGGTGAGCTTTTTTGCTTTTAATTAGTTGAGTGATAACCCTCACTACTATGGTTTGATGCATTATAAGTTTATCATTGAAATATGCAATCACACTTGACACGTCCCACGCCACCCATGCTTACCTCAAAATTTGGTGAAATCGAATTGAAACAAATGTTGAATAATGCGGTATCTATTGGGGGTTATCTGTGATTTTAATAGAGTATGTCTATTGCTAAGCAGTACTTGACAGAATAAGTTATTTCCAAATGATAATCATTTGTTAGTAGAGCAAAAAAAATAATGACAATCTGACCCAGGTGAAGGGGCAACGCAAAGCCGAAGTATGTCTTGTTGGATCCCCCGGATCCGCTCTCGGTGCTCTTAGGCTCCTCAAACACCGCTCACTGGGTTTCTCGCCGGATTTTCTCAGCAAATAGCTATTGAAGTCGTCGTGGCCTAAAGGATAAGACGTCCGGTGCATTCGTATCTAGCGATGCAACGGTTTACGAATCCCGCCGGCGGGTACCAATTTCTCGAAAGAAATACGATATGTGCTTAACAAAATGTTAACGATTGACTTCCACAGTGAAGAAATAACATCGTGTAATAAAAATCAAACCCGCAAAATTATAATTTGCGTAATTACTGGTGGTAGGACCTCTTGTGAGTCCGCACGGGTAGGTACCACCACCCCGCCTATTTCTGCCGTGAAGCAGTAACGCGTTTCGGTTTGAAGGGTGGAGCAGCCGTTGTAACTATACTGAGACCTTAGAACTTATATCTCAAGGTGGGTGGCGCATTTACGATGTAGATGTCTATGGGCTCCAGTATTAGCAAATTCTCTTAGGTTGAGCCTGTGAGCGCACTCACTGGTCCGCGAGTAGTTGGAATAACCCCGTGGGTTACGAACGATTAGATAGGGAACAAAAAAAAGCAAACCATTATTTGTAACAAAATAAAATAAATAAATAAAATAACATCCAATATACTTAAGAAGATTAACTTATATACTTAATTCTTTGACTTAGAGAAAACAGTAAGTTCTTGACAGAAAGAAATGCTTGGAGCAAATTCAAATTATTGAATGTGGAGGTTTAATAGCTTTATATAATGTATTTTACTCATTCAGATCGTGACCTTACGTTTCGTGCTCGGACTTTTATTTTGAAGATTTATCACACATAACTAGTATTTAAGAATATTGAACAGTATATTGATCATGAATACCACTAAAAGTAAAGGTCCGTCACGTTTGTCTATTTGAGTTTCCGCCATTTTTTTTCTTGTAGGTACTACTAAAAGTGATATTTCTTCTTAAATATATATTTTTTGTATCTAAGGATAAGAGATACATAAAAATGTGCGCTATGACACCGTTCCTTAAAGCTACATCTTTATTCGTATATGTGCAATGCATTTATGATAGACGTATGCACATTAATAAAGGGCTTAGGTCAGCAGGAATTAAATAATGCGTCACTTTACACTAACAGCTTGTATTTATTTCCACTTTCCACTTACAGAGTAATTTACAGTGATCGTGTTTACACTTTCAACTCTCTGTCGAGAATGAATGCTATTTTTTTTTTCCTACCTAAGCTGAGAGCCTTGAGAGGCTATTTCAGCGTAACCCGAACGTTTGTAGGTAAGCTCACGGGGCTCAAACCTGAATGAATGCTACTTCGGTGTGCTCGAAATTGTCTGATCGCCCCACCACAACGAAATGGTGGTGCGATTGACGTCACTAGACGAGTGAAGTCAACCGAGTCAATTGAACAATTATTTAAAATTATTATTAAGTTAAAATAAATTCAGTTAATTATATCTGAGATACTATTATCTATTTCCAGAAGTAATTAGTTTAGTTTTACACATATGCGCGATGTAGTTATTAGATACTTCACATATTATTAATATCCAATATAATACAATTGACAACTTCATCGGATATGCGTAGCAACTAAGTAGCGGACTTTATTATAATTTATGTAATATCCTGGCAACTTGTATTATGTACGTATAAATACCTAACATTAAGCAGGTCCCTCAGCGAGAGAAAGACTGCTTTGTGCAGTGGCGTAGTTGAAGATTCAGCGCTTATAAGCCATGCCACCCGATATAATAGAAAAAATACTTTAGTTACATTAATATTATATAAAATATGTATAAAGAAATTGTACAGGATTTTATTGTGAGTTAAGAATGATCAAGTACGACCAACCGAGTTTTGGTTATTAGGTAGGTAGGTTTTTTTAAACTTGAGGGTCATAAAAGCAAAGCAAAATTGGGCATCAGATGGTACGGCTTGCGACGCCCCTCGCAGCCTGCCTCGGGGCTTAACCCTTTCAGCCCTAGGGTTGATATGTCCATGCCTTTGTGCAAGTTCCGATATTGATACCCTCCATTTAGAGTTTGTTTATGTCTCAGACTAGGTATAACACTCTCTTATTAACTGTCAACCATGTTTTTATCAGGTACATCGTGATAAAGTAACCAACCTAGCATTATTTGAAGAAAAAACCGTTGAGGGATTTGTCAACGTTGAGATTCATTTTCATTTAAATTAAATTAAATTTCGTATTTTTTTTTATCCCTGATGAATCTCTATTAATTATGTAATAGCTTGCCGGTTTAAATCATTATCCAGTTAAAACATTAACGAAAAGTTGAGAATTTCGTTTAAAATATTCACTTATTTCCCTAAGGTAGGTACGGAAACACGAGAATTTATTAATCAATTTTTATAAAAATACACAAGACTCGCCCGATCGACAAAGGTAGCCGTCAATAGAATACTTATAGCATCGAATCCTTTTAAAAAAAAAGGCTTCCAAACCAGATTTTTATTTTGTAAGTTATTTTATTGTTTATAGTTATTTTATTGAGTAAGTTCAATTTGTCATTTCTTAGACAATTAAACTAGCTTGACTTGTCTTATAAGAGAAATTCTGAAAAAATTACAATACTTGTACAATAATTAGAATAATTAATATTACTTTTACGGTTCGATAACGCGTTTTTACTGTCGTCATATTATTATAATATTTCCAACGTTCCGAATACTTGACAGATTTCGTGATCAAGGGTAATCAGTGAAAGCAGCTTAAAAGTCAGGCGCGAAAACCGTAATACCTAATCAAAATGGCTCAGTCCGTAGTTCTAAAACATTACTTTAAAATTTTAAATGAATAAAATGTGATATTTTTATCATTTGGTATTCGAAAATCAAAATGTTTATGTAAATGTTTACAATAATAAAATGCAAATCATAGAAACAAAAAACCCGAAAAAAAAGCAAACAAAGTCCCCTCCCTAGGGCATGTTGCAATGGATGCTGGTTTTATATCTTAGGTCTCCCGCGTATAATCGGTTGCTAAACTTTAATAGATCCGAGCTTGTGTTTTGACTCTAGTTTATTGACAAAAAATTAGGCAACGCTTAAATCACAACTTTCTGAACTTTGCTAAAGCGTAAAAGGAATTTGAGTTGGTAATTATGTAAAGGACAATGTATCGAACACAATATAAATTACTATGTTTTATACTTAATGTCCACAGATCGAGCATCTTACTGAAAGCTAAAGAGAAAAATCACTATTTTCTAATTGAGCTTACTGTCTGTTGGTCTACCGAGCAATTTTACCCACTCGGTGGAAGATCATCCGTTTGTCGATTATTCCTCAATATCCAATGACCATTTCTTTTATTAAATTTTAAAGAAAATCTGCGTATAAGCTTTTCTTTCAAATAGATCGGGTAACCACCAAACGGTCTACTTAGTTTTATGTGGTTACCGGAGTCCATAAACATGACGCAGTGAATGTCGCCACCCATTTCGGGCATAAGGTGGACGTCTGAATATATAGTCTCTCAGAGTCTCAATAGTATAGTATAGTTGCAATACTGGGCAGATTTAATTAGTATTATAATGCTATTGCAAGTCCTTTGTACTGTGTGAACTTATAGACCAATTAATTATAAATTGGCGTATCCTAAATGAATTGAGCTAGAGCGGTGGAAGCGTATATTTAATTCGGGATGAACCTTAATTTATGCCGCCAGAACGATCAACGAAGACAGCAGGTAGTTAAACTAAGACCAGTAATTTATTTGCAAAGCTGATTATGTTTGTTTTGGTTTGTAAGCAAAGGGAGTCTATGTGTGTGTGGACCGCGTCACCGAATAAGACTCGAATAGGTAGGTAATTGTTTGGTGTGGGCTAGTAGGGTAAATTCTGCCGAGGAAAAGATCGACGTAGTTGCAGAGAATCCTTATTTACACCCTCATATTTGACCTTCCTTGGCCAAGGTGTTATGGCCAAGGAAGGACTTTGACATGGTCGTATCACCTAAATACCTGGGCGTATCAATCAAAATAGGGAAAGCGGTATCAGGTTGCTAGGTGTAGAGGACATGGACTGGTAAGTGCTACTAGAGATTTAAGCAGTGAAAATAGTGATGAACTTAATAAATTCGAACAGTTTGTTTGTTTGGACAGTTTTTATCGTTAATAACCTGCGATCATCAGTTACTATTGTTGATCGAAGTTAATAACTGTGTTAATTAATCTAATTAATTTAAGTGTTTTCAAGTACATATTGCATATCTACATTACTAGGTTTAGCAGTTAAACAATTGATGATTATGTAATGAAGATGAGCTTCAAATCGAACTAACTGAATTCGGAACACTTGCAGTACAAAAATCGAAAAGTCAATGTAACTATTTTTGCCCATAAAATGTTACTTCATTATGTTCATTGAACTATAATAATTGTGTTGTTAGGATAGTAACATTAGTCTAGCGCGCATCATCGACCATTAACCCGTCAACTGCCATGTAGGTCACCGGTGCCCTATGCGGCGCACTGAAGTATTTATGTCAATTCCTGTCTTCGATCTTTTTACTAAGGCATCGGAATGTCAAGTAGACTCTAGGATGACGAACCTGAAGCTACTGAG